CATTTACTGTGTGATTAATTTATTGTTTAGCGCAAAAGGCCTGTTCATATATAGTTTTGTATTTTTTTAGTTTGTAATGATCCAGTCCAAGTTTGACAAAATGTTCTGTAAATTAACTTTAAAAGTTGTAGTTTTTAAAGATCACAACTGTTTATTTCTTTCTACCATAATTTCATAAACTAAGTTCGAAGAAGCCATTTAAGGGAGTCTAATCTTTAAAAAAACAGTGGTAAGCATATTTAATATACATAGATTCTAATGTCAGGTTCTAAACTGAGAAACCTCTCAGAAAATGCTATCAAGGAGTTTTACGTCGGTCTGTTGAATAATTATCTATGCTAAGTTTCCAGGTCCTTGTCTGCAAAACAAAGCCAAATCACCATTACGCTTGACAATTGTATTAAGTGTTTGTGCTGATAGGCTGCCGTGCATTTTGGCCTGTCACCTCTGCTGTTGTCTCATCTATCCAGAGGAAGCTGTTCCAGATGTCACATGGCTGTCATGGTACATTCATCTTATGAGAGAAGCTTTTTTTCCTAGAATCTCTTCCAGTTGTTGATCTTGATGGAAACATTTTTCAACTGTCTTAAAAGCTTTATATGTAAAATAATCTTCTTTGTTGTATAATGATGGACTTTAGACTGTTTGGATATGGCCTTCTCAACCTTTCACAAAATACTTGCCCACAACAAGTGATTCTCTAAGTTTTCTGCTTATGTCTTATGAGTTTGTTTTTGGTAACATATGGTAACCAGAAAACTTCCACAAAACTCCTGAAACACTGATTTCTTTAAATGAAGACTAAAATCCCACCTGTATATGTTCAGTATATTTGATGGTGATTATGCTTAATGATTTTGTTAATGGCATTTGACAAGATGTAATGTGTGTTTCATAATTGACTATTGTGTTGTCAATTACCAAACAAGCAGTTTGAACTGCCTTGTTGCTGAAATGTGTGATACAAAACTCCTGAAGCTGCTGGTTTTACATAAATAGTATCACACTGAACAATAATCAAGGGATTACTGCTTTCCTCTATAAGTCATCTGGAAACAGTCCAGGTATTCTTGATTTTTTTTTTTTGGGGGGGGGGGGTTTCCATTCATGTAGCTTTTTTGGCTTCCGTTTGTACGTGTGCAGTATCTGATACTGTTTTGTACTCTTGAGACTAGATGAACAACACTTTAGAGCCTGTTTAAGACTAGACCAAGTGTCCCTTTTTTTCCAATGACTTGTAGTTGGATTGAAAAACACTTAAGTAAACTTTGGCTTTATCAGATAAATGGCATCTGATAAAGACAATTATCAGATGGCTTTATGTGTTTTCCAGGCACATAGTCTCATTTTATGGCAGAACAAGTAGCTATGTTGCCTGCAGTTGTTATAAAATGCTTCATATATTACATATGACTTAAAGGAAGTTTTACTTTATAATATAACACCTTGAAATTGGGCCTCCATCTCTTTATAAACTCCTGCTCTTCCAGGAAGAGCTCCACCTTCAAGAAGTCATTATCCCGTTAGCAATGTTTTTACCAGTGTTTCATGGAGAGGGACCAGGTGTTTGCTAATTGCTTCTGCCTAGTCTGAAGGAGCTGAGTAGGGAGTTGCAGGAAAAGGCTGCTCTGTGAGATAGGAATCTAGAAACTGCATTTCAAAGGCAGTGCTAGGTCCACTTAGGCCCTTTGTATGACTGAATGGTTGCTGCAGGACAGTAAATAATTTCTCAAACATGATGTACAGTTCAAAAAAGTTGATTTTAAATAGTACTGGTGCTATAATGTCATTTCATGTCTGCTAAGTATTATAGTAAATATAATCTGACAAATGGTTCTAGTCTGGAGCTTTTCAAACTTTAGGATAGGTTTGTTTTGAGCTATTGTACAAAAAGATCATATTATTGATCTTTTAGCTTATTAGAGGCAATTGTTGGCTGCCTTGAAACCCCCGAGATGACTTCAGATCACTGTAAAACATGTAACCGCTTCTTTAGACTTAGGCTAAGTGGATAATGCGACAAGTTTACAAGATATTGACAATAATGTCTAAGTAAAAAAAAAAAAACAAATAAAAAAAACCTAAAAAACACTTTTTGTGGGATTAACTGCAGCTATACGTCAAAATTCCAGCAAACCCAAGGAATCTGGGTTCACTGCCAAACTGCAAACTCCCAAGTCATGTTTACCAGAAGCCACCCTTGACTGAGAGCAGTTCTGTTTTCACACAGTCAGCCTCTGATTGGAGATTTTCCCATCATGACAGCCGCAGCTCCACTTGCCTGGTGACTCCTGGAGGAATTGGCACAGGAAGTTTGGGTGACTCACCTTTGCGAGTCACGCTGTAGTGGTGAAGTGGGCCCAGACATGTCTTCATCCACTAACTAAGATGGCGGTGTTCTCATGCTGGTACACAAGCAGATATTTCCCACCCAGTCGATCCTGAAACTGTCATAATCCTGACTGGATTAAGGAACAATGCCCTCTGCTTCCTGCCTGACGTCAGACATCATTCTGCAGCGCAGGACCTGCTGCATTTAGCATTTTTCTGGTTATAATAAAGCACTTTGTGTCTTCATTGACAGCAGTCAACTTTTCTCTTTTTCAGATGGACGTAGCTAAGGATTTCTGTCAGCTTCCTGAGCCTGATTCCCAGCAGAGAGTCTGGACTTGGGCTGTGACCGGAGTTGGTGTGAGCATGCTGGGAGCCGCTCTCTTCCTGTTCCTCTGCAAACCTTCAAGGGCTGCATGAACACACAAACACTCATAAAGCAGTGAAAGGATTCATTCTAATGTCTTATTTGATTACTGTAAGCTATAGAAAACAGGGTTACGTTTCAGGCATGCTTGGGAAGTTTAACTTGTCTTCGTTCTGTTTTTTTTTTTTTTTTAATTAGTTTGATTTTGTCTTGAAAGTGTTTTGAGTTAGGCTAAAGGTTAACCAAGAGATTTTGCCTCTGTTGCTAAATAAAAAATTGGGACATTTTTGCTTTCAGTTTTTTCCCACATTTGTAAGAAGCTCAGCCTCTTTGTTTGAATCAAACAGCAAAGCATCAAGAATGTGGCGATGGCACAGGAGTAAAGTCTTGAACGCAGCCATCAGCAATTTGAGTCCTGGTCTATCTCAACCCGCTTTCTGACCTCTCTCTAATAAAGACCATGAGAGCCAGAAAAATACCTGAAAAAAAGACAAATGTAGACATGTTAGCTACTGAGCAGTGAGATTTCCCAACAGAAGTTCAAAAAGACATTCCTAGTTTGTAATTGAGGTTTTCAGTGGAGGTTCACAGATCAGATTTTCTTAGCAAAGGCTGATTTTTGCTTTCATTTTTGCCTCAGAGAAGAAACAAAGTGAAGAATAAAGATTATTTGCTAGTTGTTGAAAAGTTTTAATACAATTATAGTTATTATACCCACTTATCCCTAACTTTCTCATTAAATTATAAAGTTAATCTTGTAGAATAATTTGTTTATAGGAAGAAAATGGAAAGTTTGTAGTCTAGAGGCTTTTATTAAATAGAAGAAAAGGATTTTGTGTTTTCAGGAGTTCATCTGCTGATCATTTTGATCTGACTGGTTATCTGAAAATCTTATCCTGAAATAAAGTTTATTTGATTTGGGTTTTGATGGGTCAAAGTTCTCAGTAACCAGTTGAATTTTTGAAATTCAAAGTGAACTGATCTACCAATTGGAGATGTGTAAGAGCAGTTCTTCCTTTTTTGTATTCTAGCATCCTTCACTGGTTGCTAGGCAACTAAAAAGAAGCAGCAGAGGAGTCTGGCCATCCTTCTGCGAAAGGAAATATGAGAATATGTGACCGGAGTTGGTGTGAGCATGCTGGGAGCAGCGATGCTGTACGAATCCCCCAGAGTTAAACTCCTTCTCAACCCGGTCTGCTCTGTGGGCATATTCATTATTGGAGGCCTGACCAGGAACCTGCAGGACAGAGTAGCTGATCAGGAAAGAAATCAGATTAATTCCGGTTCACTCTTAACATATATTTGTGTATATTTGAACGCTTTAATGAAAGCAGCAGTTTTGTGACAGATCAAGGCTACTGCAAAATCAAAGTCGAGCTCTCAACTGCGCCAAACCTTTGACTTGTTGGGTTTTTTTCCTGCTTCTCTTCCACGGAGATCATGTGCAAAATCCAATTTCCCCATTAATCTGGTCTGGTGTGGGTCCTGGGATCTCCACATACACTCGGGCCTGATCAAAGCAGGAGGAAATGCCGAGTGTCACTGGCTACAGATTTCCCCTGGAGACTTCAAAAAGACGCCCATAAATAATCCAGTTGAGACGGACACATCACCTTTAGGTGTTGCTGTGGGAGAACCGGTGAGTTTGGTTAAAAAATCAAAACAGAAAATACAGCAAACCCCGTCAGTTCTGGGTTTGAAGGATGAGGTTGTAAATGACTGGAAGTGGAGTGCGCGTCGTTCTTTGGGAACGGAGAATATTTGACACCTGCGCGTCATCTTCTCCAAAGTATCAGGTTATGTGGCGCTTTAGGACGAACCGTCCAGTCATTTTCTGCTGGCTTCTTAAATCTCCGTCCTGCCTCCCCTTTAAGATTTATTCGCAGTTCTCGAGGATTGCGACAGACTTTCTTTTTTAATTATCATTATTATTTTTTGCTTCGGTTCTCTGAGCGCGCAGGATCAAATGTATTATTGGATGACTGTATTTGATTCCTTTGCCGTTGGACTGAGGGCGGCGCATCAGCTCCATCAGCTGGTGGCAGGGAACCCGCAGCTCCGGGTCTGGACCCGAGCCAAAACCTGTCTGGTGTCAAACCAGCCCGAACAGATACGCCGAGACATCTCATTTCTTCCCTTCATTCCTGAAGCGGCAGCCTGCCCACCCCTGGTGTAAAAGTATTTGAACCTGGAAGCTCATCGCAGTCTGGCCCCTGTGTGAGGATCTGTCAGGATCTCTGTGAGGATCTGTGAGGATCTCTGTGAGGATCTGTGAGGATCTCTGTGAGGATCTGTCAGGATCTCTGCGGAGCCTTCCTCCAGGGCTTTTACGCGCAGATCGCCTTTGCTCTCACTTCTATGTACTTTATCAGACTTGATTTGTTTCTTTTAAATCATTATATTGATCTATGTTCAAACGTTTCTCCCATCCATGGAAATGCTCCGTGCAGATCGATAAAGAGCCAAATTCTGCTGAATATGAACTTTTTGCCAAGTGGAATATGTTTTTTTCTATCGGTAGCAACCTGCTGGCTGACGGCCAAGGTCGATGCGTCCTGGTGGTGAGTGTCGCTCTGTATTAGTGTCTGTTTTATTTTATCACTGTTTAACAACTCAAAATTCCCCTCATAGTAATTTATTCTAATTTCTTCTGAATAATTTGGGACACATGAATGCTTTTGCAGAGTGTTTTCTACGTTGGATATGTGTACAAGATAAGTTTCCAGTTCAATTTAATATCTGCATTTGTTATTTTTGCACAATTCCTTAATTAATGTGTGTAAGGTGCATGTGTCCAAATTCCTGCTTTATACTTTTAAATATTAACAGCTGAGTGTTTTCTTTCATATTTAAACAATGTAGCTTGAGCTAATTCTTTTCTTACAATCAAGTAAGAACAAATATTGAAAATGTAAGTAATGAATAAAAATAAATATATCAAATGGAGATGAAAAATAGTTCAACCAAACTGGTCAAGCAGGAGCACAGAAATTCACTTTCAAATGAAACTTAGCAATGATTAGATTTTCCATTCCTCAAACTTCAAAAAAATAAAAAATAAAATAAAATAGAAGAATGAACCTTACTTCCATTACAAACGTGTTTGCAGTAGTGCCTGGAGCAGAGAGTGCGCCATCACTTTCATTGCCGCCATGAAACAAATTTGGAGCATTTGATCATCATATTATCTCAACTCAAGATAGAACATTTTAAGTTGAGAGCAGGTAAAATTTGAACATCGTCACCTTCCTTTCTTCCAAAAGTAAAGTGCTAATTTCTTTCTTTTTTTTAAACCAACATTAATTCAGAAAAAAATGACTCTGGCCATCATTTTACTTCAAATTTCTCCTTGGAGAAAGTGAGATTTCCAGGATTTCTGCACGGTGTTTTAAATTTTTTGTCATCTTTCAAAATATTTTTAATTTTCCATTGATGCTCACTTCTTGTTTTGAGTTCGTTCAACTAAAATCTGTATAAAAAGAACTAAACACAGGACCGAGCTGCTTTGCGCATGCGTAGTGTTGGAACTACCTAACATCATTCTGCGTCTCACCATGAGAAGATATAAGTTTTCACAACCGCTGATCCGCCGCGCCGCGCCGCGCCGCTGATCCCGCCGCGCCGCTGATCCCGCCGCGCCGCTGATCCCGCCGCGCCGCTGATCCCGCCGCGCCGCTGATCCCGCCGCGCCGCTGATCCCGCCGCGCCGCGCCGCTGATCCCGCCGCGCCGCGCCGCTGATCCCGCCGCGCCGCGCCGCTGATCCCGCCGCGCCGCGCCGCCACCACTACGCAGGGAAAACCCGTTGAAGAACAAGTCGAAATCTCTCTAGTCTCTTTTTTCATCACTTTCCGTGACGGTTAGCTACACGCAGACTCATTGCCACAGCAACCAACTAACAGCTCCACTCCTGCATGTTCACCAGTTTGCTCGCAATCCCTCCAACATAAATCAGTTTTAGTTTTTATCATGCTTTGATTTGATAAACATTCCTAAAGAATCTCATCTTGTGTCTCCAATTAACTCCTTCCATGTTGGGCTATTTGTAATTTTACGACAATCTGATGTAGTTTAAAGTCAAAGAATGTAAACCACATACAGTAATACATTATCATAATGGATGATTTTTTAAAGAAAGCATTAGTGTCCCCTGTCATCTAAATTGTAATTTTTTTCAATGAAAGCATGGCTTAAATGTTTAGATGTTAGCCTGTACAAAGCTGAGTGCCATGTGTTTAAATATTTAACATGTCTGTTCCCTCCTCCTCACCATGTAGGTACATGGGCACCCTGGGCTCTCAGGTGATGTGTGACAACATCCCTGGCCTGGTGAACAAACAGCGCCAACTCTGCCACCAGCACCCCAACGTGATGCAGGTCATCGGGGCCGGGATGAAGGAGTGGATCTCTGAGTGCCAGCACCAGTTCCGCAACCACCGCTGGAACTGCAACACAACAGCCAGGGACCACAACTTGTTTGGCCGTCTGCTGCTACGCGGTGAGTAGAAACTAGAACCCTGCAGTTACCCCAACCACCAATGGGTTGACTTATGAAGGTCCTTAAAGTAAATGTGAAAACAATTTCAAACAAATAGTCATTCTTTCAAGAGCTCAGCTAAATCTATGGCTGCTGTTTTTCTCCTTGGAGAAAGTGAGATTTCCAGGATTTCCACACGGAGTTTTCAATTTTTTGTCATCTTTCAAAATATTTTTAATCTTCCATTGATACTCATTTCTTATTTTGAGTTCATTCAACTAAAATCTGTATAAAAAGAACAAATGAAGGTAACGTAGTTGCTTGGTTGGGCAATAAAATGCTAATTTGTGTCTGGAAAAAACTTAATATTGCCCCTCCAGAGGCTGTAGATGTTCATTGGAAATGAGGACGTTTCTATTTTTTATCTTTATAATAATAATACTAACAATATGACTGCAAAACCTGCAACACATCAAATGTTCCCACTGATATCCTTAGATTAATTCAGCCATCTTCAGTAATTAATCTCCTTTTAGCCCATTTGGTTGAGAGATGGCAAGCTAACATAATCCCAACCTTTTGAAGAGTCACAGCTGGTCATCAGCGGTGTTTATCTTCTCTGACGATTTGTTGGTGACTACAGATGATTTTTTGGCAGCTTTAAAAGATGAGAGTGGACATAAAAAGGTTGGTTCTGACAGTCAGTGAGAGGTGAAAGCTGAACAGTAAGACCTATGAAGAGCATTAGGAACTAAAGATTACCAAGCAGTGAGCTTGGCTGTCACTCCCTGTAACGGATGTTACAGAAGCATCTTGTCAAGTCAAACATGTGATTGCACATCTCAGCCATTAAAACCGTGGTGCTGTTTTCAGCGGGGGGCATGTTGGAGCTGGTCCAGATCTTATTTTCCCTCTTCTTGTGCAGAAGGAGGGATCATCAGAACTTGACGGCCTGATGTTCCTCTCCCATGCCCTGAGATTTAACCTGTGAGGTGGATCCTTCAGTCTGTTTCATATTGGGGGGCCTTTAATCAGCCGTGTGGTATTTGGACCTCCCACCTGGCCCCCTACTGTGTCACAAAGCATTATCATGGCACACAGAAGCCCCTCCAGAAGCTCCTTATTGTCAATGTCAGAAGGCTAATTTCAAACAATTACACAGATTTCCCTCCTCAGTAACATGTTCTCTCACCGTTCTCCTCATTCACCCTGTTAGACACAAACACACACCCGCACGCACACACACACACACACCCACACACACACACACACACACCCGCACGCACACACACACACGCACGCACACACACACACACACACACCCACGCACACACACGCACACCTGCACACACACACCCGCACGCACACACGCACACACACACGCACACCTGCACACACACACACACCCGCACGCACGCACACACACACACCCACGCACGCACACACACACACGCACACCCGCACGCACACACACACCTGCACACACACACACACCCGCACGCACACACACACACGCACGCACGCACACACCCACACACCCACGCACACACACACACACCTCTGTTTATATTAATTACTGTTCCCAGGTAACACTTGAGCTTGATTTAAACATTTTTTTCTTTCTGTATGCATTTCAGATTTGAAGACTGTCATGTCATTTTTTGTGTGCTTGTAAATGCTTATGCCTTCTGGAAATGTCAGTAATGTAGTTTCAAATCAAATTTATTGACATATTTCATTAACAAGGAAGTTCAAAGTGCTTTACATAACAACCAATCATGAAACTGAAATGTACATGAAATATATTGAGTGCTGTTCTAACGAGGTGGATTTTTGGCCTTGATATAAGTCATATAGTGACTTTTATGAAAAAAATAAAAAATACATATACAGCTTTTTTTGACATATTTGTTTAAACTGTCACCATGTTGGGACAGTAAAATATGAGACAGATAATCTGTGAAAAGTATGAGCTTCTTCACCTCCACATTGCGCTGGTATTTCCTCTAAAGAAATGCACACACAGGCTTGATTGACAGCGCTAGGACTCCCCTCCTGGCTCTGATTGGTTGTTTCTAGTTAGCACTAGAAAGCAGAGAAGCTATTTTCTTTCTCCACACATCATTTGTCTCATACTTCTTTCTCCCAACATAGTGACAGTTCTGTAAAAAAAAAGATTTTTTGCAAAAGTTTTGCAGTTTCCCAAAAGTTTGAATTTGCATTTAGCTACTTACTGAGTAACAAATTGTTCTTTATTATTATAGTTTTAAACAACAATCCAGACATAAAATGTTGTGTTCCAACAACTATTACTGATCAGATTTGGTCCTGGGCAATATGAGGAAGTTTTTTGGGGTGTTTTATCTCTACAGCCACTTTCATGATGTTTTTTATCAGTCCATGCACTGCAAACATATCAATTGGACACTTGAGAAATTAAGGTAATAGTCTTTACTCTGATCATGTTGACTGATAAGCAGTCAATGTGCTTATCGTTCCAATATGTAATCACTACCGACTTGCTGTTGGCCAGATTTATTCTGTTTTGCTCAGGAGCCATAATTTGTCAAATCTCATATTTTGACAGAGCTAGCCAAAATAAAGTGAGAACCAAAATCAACCATTTTCAGAAAGTTATATAAAATCTAATTATGTAAGAGATTTAAGCATTGACACTTCTTTCACATCAATATTAAAATACTTCACTAAATATGTAATTTCATAGCCAAGAATTGGGGTATTATCTGGCAAAAAAAACAGGTGCTAAGAGAAATATTTCAGATTTTTTATGCGGAGTCCTGTAGATAGGTGATCAGTAAATGTCTTATTTAAAGTGGATGGTTCTCTGAGCCTCTTTACATAAGAAATACATTTTCCAGCGAACCATTTGGCAAAGAAGAGCTGCACCAAACATGAGGATTTTTCATATTAAAACATCTCTGGTCCACTGCAGGTCAGATATTTGCTTCTGATAATCGCTCAACATTTCATTAATAAATACATTTTTGATATTTATATCTTCAGCTGACTTCCCAGACATGGTGGTTTCATAGCAGAAATGAAATGAAGAAAAGGAATTCTTCTTTTCTCAGATCTTGCCCTCATCTCTCCTTGGTTACTGTGCATTTTGTTTTGTAAACTGAAACAATAAAAACAGGAACCAGACCCATCAGTCAATGTAAAGACATGCTGTCGATCTTCAAATTTGAGCTGTTCCGTGCCGAACGTGCTTCTGCACAAATACATGTTTTTGGTACAAAGTAACAGACTTTGCCCCATCATAATTGTCTACTACTAGGCAGCCGAGAAGTTGCCTTTGTGTACGCCATCTCCTCTGCAGGAGTGGTGTATACTTTGGCCAGAGCTTGCAGCCAAGGCGACCTGGATAGCTGTTCCTGTGACCCCACCAAGAAGGGCTCATCGCAGGACTCCAAGGGCTCCTTCGACTGGGGAGGCTGCAGCGATCATGTGGAGCATGCCATTCATTTCAGCCAAATCTTTGTGGATGCCAAAGACAGGAAGGAGAGAGATGCCCGAGCGCTCATGAACCTTCACAACAACAGAGCTGGCAGGAAGGTATGGGAGAGGGAACACATAGAAATGACTCAGTTCAGCAATAAAGCAGATGATGCGTTTTTTTTCTTCTTCTGGATTTTCTTCCCCATTATTTTGAAGTCTGGAAAGGGGGATGCTAAGAGCTCTTTTCTTGACATCTGTAAACAAACGTCCCTTCCTGTTATCTCCTCACAGGCAGTTAGACGCTTCATGACTTTACAATGTAAATGCCATGGAGTCAGTGGCTCGTGCAGCATCCGTACCTGCTGGCAGGCTATGGCCGACTTCCGACGCACTGGTGACCATCTGAGGAGGAGATACAACAGTGCTGTGCAGGTCGCAGTCAATCAGTATGGAACTGGCTTCACAGCTGCGCACACACACTTCACACGTCCCAGCAAAAATGATCTGGTCTACATGGAAGACTCACCAGACTACTGTATACGGGACCCTCAGTCAGGTAAGGGCTAAATCTGTCCGTCATGTTCATGCTCCTAAATAAAACCCAGCCAAAATCCTCCTCCATTTAAAAAAACAGAGTCCTCTGGAGTCATTTTCTTCCTTTTTGCATCTGAGAACTTCCACAGATTGAACAAAAACTAAGCCTGTGTGAGTGCTGGTGGTCACATGCACTCATTACCTGATCATCGCTTGTTTAAACACTTCTATAAAAAGCAGTTTTTCCAGGTTGGTGCTGAATACTATTAGGTTCACACACATCCAATGAGGAAAGTCATCATCAACAGTCTTAAAAGTATTTCAAGCAGAGATGAGTGTATTCTGTATCTTGTGGTTTGGGATGTGACGGTTGACCTCCATCATCACCTCAATGCCATCAGTAAGGCACATAATTCCCACATGTATGCACTTCAGCTCAGGGACGGTGGGACGTCTTAACCTTTTGCCTGATGTTAGACCTTCCTGCTATGAGTTAGTGTTAGTCTTGATGATCTATCCATCTATTCATTTTCTTACACCCTTGTCCATAGTGGGGTCAGGAGGTGCTGGTGTCTATCTCCAGCTAACATTCCGGGCCTTGGACAGGTCGCCAGTCTGTCACAGGGCAAGTGAGACAGACGGGACAGACAACCACGCACACACACACACACACACACACACACACACACACACACACACACACACACACACACACACACACACACACACACACACACACACACGCACACACACACACACACACACACACACACACACACACACACACACACACACACACACACACACACACAGAGAGAGGATTTAGAGAGGCCAATTAACCTGACAGTCATGTTTTGGACTGTGGGAGAAAGCCTGATACCTGGAGAGAGAACCCATCATGCACAGGGAGAACATGGAAACTCCTTGCAGAAAGACCCCGGGCTGGGAATCAAACCCAGGACCTTCTTGCTGCAAGGCAACTAACTGCGTCATTGTGCAGCCCTGATCCAGAATTTGTCATTTGATATCATCTCCTGTTGTCACACAGTGTTCTAAAGAGTCAACCTTCAGAACACACAGTGTACCACTGAATCCTGTGACTTTCTTCTTCAAATCGATGGCATCAAACTACCTTCCCAATCTGTTGTTCTGTGATGGTGCACTGAAAAATCTGTGTGGAGATGATGATGCATTAGGGAAAAATAGCTTGTCAAATTCAAATTCCACTGACCAAATGGCCTGTTTGTACATAGATGAAGATTGTTCATATCCAGTAGTCATTGTTCAAAGTAAAATTCAACATCACCCTTGTTCAGTATCATCAGAGGCAGCGAACCACTAGACAAAAAAGAGCTTAAAAACTTAATGAGGAGGATGAAAAAACATACAACTTCCTGGTTTAAGTGAGCAGGGCTTCCGTGATGTCATCAAGTGATTATATAAATATGTTTAATGCTGGTCTGTGATGATATCCAGAAAATCTGGTACAGCCTTGACCTGATGAGAAAATTCTTACGTATTCATCTTTTTATTTTGAGAAATCAGATTTTGCTGCTTGGCGACCTCCACATGCAGCAAAAAGCTTTTGCTAACTTTTGATCTTAATTGCCTCAACACTATTCTGACTCATTTTGAACTCTGAGGGAGTTTGCTCAGTTTGTATGTAAAAGACGCAAACTGATCCAAAGTGGCCAACTTCCACCAAGAATTTGATCAGCACTCTTAAAAGTTTTTCTGTTCGATAGACGTGTGCATCAAATTTCAAATTCCTCGGCTAAAATACAGCTTGTTGTTTGGATGCAGTGAGGCTAAGATTTGCATAAACACCTTTTGGGGCTTGAATTACCCACAAGTCAAACATAAGACTGAGACATGACATCAGACATGTCTCATCATGACATGTCTCGCCTCGTCCAACAGACACACACCCTGCTAAAAGTTTGTGTTGTAAACCAAGCGGGCAACTTGTTATCTCTTAAATGACTCAATTTCAAGTGGAATAGCTCAAGAGGGTTATAGAGCGAACTTTCCAAAAGAAAAAAAATGTGTCTCTGTTCTCAGAGGACAGGGCTTAGATAATGTTCGTGGATGACCCAAAGTGGAAATACCCTCAATTTCTTTTGCGCTCAAGTCTTTCACAATCAGTTCCTGCCTTGTTCTTCAGTCTTTCTCTTCACCAGATAATTGACTGATTTGTACAGTAACCAAAACCACTGCTGTTGTTAGGAAAGACTTGGTTATGTTTTATGGCTGAGACGAGACAGTGTGAGAACGAAAACATTTGTGTTTAAAACTCAGGTTAGAAAACAGGCAGATGACAGAGCAGTGAGTGTGTGTCTTCCAGAAAGAGTGGCTGCTTGTCGTGCAGCCGATGATCCGTGACAATCAGGTGTCAGCCAGTTTGACAGCCTTTCCACACTGAAACTCAAGAATACCACACTCCTTTATAAATCACCTCGACAAGAAATACACACACAAACACACTGACTGGTTAAAATCAGCTTATTGGAGTCGTTTGCATCACACAGGAAGAATAGATGAAATTTAATTAGCTTAGTGCCATTATAGACTCAAACACTAACAAAACTTTAAACTGCATGAGGAGACGGCACCTTTACGTTTACCTGATATGAACTTTGTGGGATTGAAGCATTTTTTATTCCCTGAACTTCGTCTGTTTCATGTTTCAGTCATCCCAGTGCAAAATCTACTACAGTTTTCACTTATTTTAACTATAAAATAACCTGTATATATATATAAGCTAGTTTCATTTTTTAAATCTCTTGTCTTTGCAAGACAATCCTTTCCTTTCTCCCAGACATACTATAAAATATTGATCATGCATTCCACCATTATAGATGATATTTGCATTCTAATTTACAGATTACCAAATGTTTCACTGTTTTTTCCAAAGTTTCAGGCTGTACCCTAATTCGTGCTGTTTGGTCCTGTTTTCTGTACTTGAGTAATGCTGCAGGAATATTGTCTGCAAACAATTCAACCAAGTTTTAACTATAAAAGATACTATTTCTGCTCTAATTAGACTATTCACACTTGTTCTTGTGTTCTTGCTGTTATTGATTTTTTGTCTGAGGAATGAAAATGGCTGCTTTTAGCCTCAAGCAACTGCTTGAGGCTTCATATTCATATTAATGATGTGTATTATATTAAAGCTGCAGCAGGTCATGATAATGAACAAAAATAAAACATGGTCAAAAAAAAAAAAGCTATGAAAAGTTAGATCATTGTCACATCATAACCTTCGCTCAGACCTGTGTATAATGAGGTTGCAGGACACGTTTGCCGTGTGGTGGAGAAGTGCACGGGGTTTTCCAGATTTTTCATTTACTACCATACTTGTTGGGAGATATTTTTCCCCAGCAGCCCACTTTGAAATCATTAAATTCCTCAAGCTTTTTTTTTTTTTTTGTGTTTTTTTTTTTAGTACTAATGATAAACAAGCTAATATTACCTTCTCAGTCTTTTTCTTAATAATGATGTCTAAATAGGTTATTTGGGGTTCTATATTTATGTTTCTGACTGTAACATTTTATGAAATTTTCCTATTGGTACAACTTTGTCACATCATGTTCAAGTATAAAACCATTGTTTCTCTCAGACACACGCCCCCTCCTGGCGAGTCAGGAGTAGGAACAGTGAGCGCAACCAGGCGAGAGTTGATCAGCTTTGCAAATGTGTGATTTGTGTCCAATGTGGTCGTGGCGTTAACGGCTCTCTCGGCTCTGTTGGCGACGCTGCAGAATGTTGTCACCTTAAAAGTCTCTGATAATACAGGAACATTTTGTCATCTTTAAAGTCACTCGAGGTGTCTGAGAAGTCATACATAGTGATAAACAGGATAAGTTTGTACTCTTAATCACACTTTATTCATCCCTCTTGGCTCCGCCCACTTTGGTGGAATTTTTCAGAATTTCCCAAGAGAGGGTTTATGTTTAGTTACAGTAACTAGTTACACTTTAAAGAGCAAAAAGATGAAACATTCACTGATAAGAACTGATAAAAGTATCAAACTTAGTGGGTCTTTCATCATCCACATTTATATTTTTAACTCCATATCAAAATAACAAGTGTCACAGCAGGAGGGTTATTTCTTGCTCTTTTGTTGCAAAAGTGAAGTTAGAAAACCCACACCAGCCCATTCATTCAGAAAGAAATATTCATCACAGACTCAGGGTTGAGTATGTGGCTTTTTAACAGGAACCCAGGAGAACCCAGGAGAAATTTGGGATCTCATTGGTAATTTTTTATTTTTTACAACAGACATGGATGCTTCATGGTCCGTGGACATGCATGCAGAATTATGCTAACATAAATATGTGTATGTACTGTAAGCATGAACTATTATCAAATTTAAAACATAGTTTGAATAATTCTTCCTTTACACTTTGAATGCTGTCAAAGAAATGCAAACTCACATCATGTGAGTGTTTGAGCATTTTCTCAAACACTTCAGGGAACAAACTACGGCCCAGAGAGGCAGTGAGACGGCCCCTCAGAGTGTGAAATCAATTTCCCTCTGCTCCAGCAAGGCTCAGGTGCTAAACTCATCTCTCGCCGCCCCCTCATCTTAATTCAATAAGCAGACATAGGGAGTGCAAGGTCCCTGAGGTAGAATCTGGCCGTGATGTCACCCTGAGCGCCGTGGCATACCATGAAAAATGGGTAGAAGGGCCCACTGCCAGAGCAGGGCGGGGGCCAGAAGGCAGGGCGGGGGCCAGAAGGGCCCACTGCCAGAGCAGGGCGGGGCGTCTGGTCGTGTCCAGACATAATACCTGCCCAGAGAACGAACGGGCGCTGAGACCATCAACACACCAACCCAAAGCAGAAGGTAAACTCCAGCAAATTCCGCAACATGGTTTGAGGTTCGTGTCTTTAAACCACTTTGGAATTATTTTTCTTCAATTTTATTTATATAGTAGTCAGCCTGAACACACTCCTTTCACTAACACTCAGACATCACAGTATCATCTGCCTCAAGCAAAACTTTGGTTCTGCAGTGTAAAACACTCTGGACCAGGGTTGCCCAAACTTTGTAATACCAATATCTACTTTTTTTGTTACCAACCAGCGAATATCTACCTCTTGACATAAAGATATAAAAATTGTAAATGAAACTCTATTATTTAATATACAAATATCAATAAGTTATAGCAGAAATATTAAAATGATAGAAAATGTAATACAGTTTGTTCCTCAGTGAGGTCCTGACACTGAAGTTGGTTACTGGTTTCAGAAGCTGGTTGGAAACCTGAGGCCAGTTATGGTAGATCTGAACTTTGGTTTGATGATGACAGTATGAGAAACATCAGACTAGGGCTGTTGTAAACAAATACTTTAGTAAATATTTTTTGTTCAGACCCGGGAATAATATGAACTAAAGTTCATTCAAAGCGGTTAGTCCCTAAAGCTACACTTACACTGTAAGCATCAACTCCTCAGCTGCCGCCATGTGCTTACCTGACCATGTGCTTACCTGTATCAATACTCCTGCAGCTCTTCCTGACGAGGAGAAAGGCTGCCATACTCCAGTCATTTTAAGGCTTATTGGTCCCCTAAAAACAATGAAAACCCAGGAGTTATCATCAATCAATAAAATCCCCACAGGCAAACTTGAAAATTGGACGTTATGCCACTAACACTAATCTTTCGTCAACAACTCAGAGGAGGAAGACAGAGCTCTGCATAACGCAAATAATATTCCACAGGGCTAAATTATAAAACATAAATTAACAAAGCTTCAAGGCAAGTAAATTTTCCTCGAGGAATTTTAATAATCGAAGTACTCGAATCATTCAAGGAATAATTTCAGCCCTACATCAGACTGGGAACCAAAGAGCTCTGTTAAGATAAAAGCACATCTTATGAAGTTGGGATATTATTCCTCCAGAGGAATCGCCTCAAACCAGATGTTGGACTAGAATTTATTTCAATGTCATTTAATATCAGCTCCTCATTTTCAACAGTGGACCAACAAAGATTGAAAAAGATTATTATTTTGGAGAAAGTTTCATCAACATCAATATTGCCACTATAAATAGCATGTTTGAAAGAGGAAAAGCCTTTCAGACTCTGAGCTCAAAGCAAAATGCCAAAGAAAACCAAACTATTTCTTTTGGAAATTATAGAATATTTGTTTTCATATCATATCTCGGTAGAATAATTTGTTTGTTACTAAATGAAATCTATTTGTCCCATTTGACGTTTGCTGTGAATGATGTAAACTCACTGACAAATGAAGGAATTAGTCCAAGTTTGTCATCTATTGAACGTTCAGAAACTACAGCGGCTTGTAATGAACCACAGCGAAGCTCAAATAACCCAAACAGGAGGTCATTCATAACCACAGGAGGTCATTCATAACCACAGGAGGTCATTCATAACCACAGGAGGTCATTCATAACCACAGGAGGTCATTCATAACCTAAATCTATTTACTAATTTCCACTTAAGTTTTCTTTTTTCTACATTTCTAAACTACATTCAGGAGTTTGTTTCAGGTTAGTGATTTTTGTCCTGACAGATGGCAACACGTCATCCCAAGACTGAGAAAAATCACTCGAGAATCTGGAAAAATGAAGGAAAGATCAGAAATCTTAATTGAACAAACTTGAAATGGTGATTCAGACTGTTTGTCCTTGTAATTGATTATGATTCATGTTTCTAAAAGAAGCAGACATCTGTTGCATGACTTTCCAACCTAACGTGTCGGGATTCTGACCCGTCTTGTCCTCAGGGTCGATGGGCACCGCGGGCCGGCTCTGCAGCCGGGCGTCCCGTGGCTCGGACGGCTGCGAGGTGATGTGCTGCGGCCGAGGCTACAACACGGCGCGGATCAGCCGCACCACCAAGTGCGAGTGCAAGTTCCACTGGTGCTGCGCCGTCCTCTGCAGAGACTGCCAGCAGCTGGTGGACGAGTTCACCTGCAAGTCCCACACATGATGCCGTCAGGACAGACATGTTGATGCCAACCGGATATGTTTCTAGGTAGACTTCCGTCTCTGCAGCTCCTCCAAAGCTACAATTGTTCTACTTTGTGCTCCTTGCCAACTGCAGCTGCAGAAAAAGTTTTGGTAACACTTTATTTGAGGGGTTGTGAATACGACTGACGGTTTGAACACCGTCATAAACATGACATAACTCATGTCATGAACATGAGTTAGTCTTCATGAGTATTTATGACTGTTGTCATAAGGTGTAAATCATGACACTTTTAATACAAAGTTGACATTATTCAAAATGTCTTCATTATGGCAACTTGACATTAACCAAGAAATCATGATCTGACATACATTTATTAAAGTTTTACAGATTAAACTTTCAAAATTATGTAGTTTTATGTTATTAAAGCTGAAGTTTAATCAGTAATACTTTTATAACACTTAGGAAATCCATACTTTTATAAAATATGAAGCCTCGTCTGAAATATGAAATGATTTCTCTTGAAGAATTGAACCAAAGTCACCGACAAAACACCTTGAAGATACCGACTTGCAGAGATACACAAAAAGTCCTTTATTGACATTTTTTCCCTTCTTCTTTTTTTGATGGGATTTAATCATGTCTGTTTGTACAACAAAAAGAACAGCTTTAAACTGAAACACCCCCAATATGCAAAGACATTAAAGAAAGTCCAAACCGGTGGTGGACATGGCTGTTCTGTGGGCTTTCTGCTCTGCTCATCTGCTTCCAGTTTGGTTTGAACTTGGTAATGTTGGCACAAAGGCGTGTCAGTCCAGTCCAACACAGTATTCTGGATTTCTGCTCAGCCGTTTGTCTGCATGAAGGTCCGATCCAGTCCGTTCTCCGGTGCTGGTGGGGTTCCGCCGGAGTCGTATGGGATGGGGTGGGGAGTCAGATGCGAGTGAGTTGGTGCCAGAGGCTCGATGGCAGGATGCTCTCCACCTTCTCCATGATGAAGTTCAGAGGAGCGAACAGCGTGCTGAGGAACTGCAACAACGCAAAAAATGCAAAGTTACACAAATCCTGAAACTCGTCAGGAGCTTCTGGATAGATCATTTAACATTTTAATCAGAATCTGCACAAAAAAGGAAATCCATGTTGATCTTTTTGTTGAAATGCTTCTAAGTGAAATATGTAGGAACGCAGGTTTATTTCATGGTACATTTGTGAGAAATATGGATCAGGGGTTTGAGCCCATCAAAACATGATTAAACCAAATGACAAACTGCTCATTCTGCTAGTCTCTCTTGTTCGGTGGTGCTGCTTAGACGGTTGAAGACGCTGCAGAAAACAAAGCCTCACTAGTTTTTGTTCTGCCTGTCCTCTCATAATTATCACCATCTTGGTCCCCCACTACTTGCAGGTGAACTCGTCCACCAACAGAAATACAAGTCAGCAAGTATGCCAAGAATAACAAGTGTCAGCAGACAGGCTAGTTCTATTCCCCTCCTCGCCTGTGGTGGCGCTCCTCCGCAAGCGAAGGAAACTACATCAAAACCTCCGAAGACAACCTGTGCAACTTCTTGCTTCTCCAAATGATGAAGGATTTCCCCCATTTGATAAAGAAAAACAACAAGTAGTTTCTCCCTCTACCTCGACCCAAATGTTTGCCTTGGTTGTATTTACCCAGAATGCCTTGTGCTATAGTCAGCTTCCTACTTTTGGCGCAGTCTCTGGTCAACTTGTGCATGTACATGTGCATTTGAACCACACCAGAACTGAGACCAAGGGATTTAGGCAGCCCAGCGTTTGCTTCTCTGATCTGCATAAGAGTTTGATTACATGTTCACACCTCCCCAAGCAAACGGGGCTTTCTGCACAAACAAAGCCAGAGTTTGATAAAAGCGTACTCCACAAGGCTGGTTTGGTTCCGCACACACAGCCCAAACTGTCAACAGATTAACTTGTATGACGTAAAAGCAGATGAGAATACAACACTGGACCAATCCTCAAACCATCCAAAACATCCAAGAGTAAAAATGAAACATTACATGAGCATGAAGCTCAAATCATCATTACAGCCAAGTTAGATGGAATAAACTAGTTTTTTTTTTTAGGAAAACACAAACAACTGAACTGAACAAGCTATTCAGTTACATCCATGTTAAAAATTCTGTGCCACATCAAGCAAACAAAAGCCTTCTGCTTCCACTTTGAGCTGCTTTGGAAGTGAAAAGAGGAGATGGGAGCTGAGGAGAGATGGCGGAGAGATGGCGGCTTCAGAACCGCATCATGTAGATCATCAGTGAGGCTCCATCGTCATCAGATGGTAGATAAGTAAAGAGGAGACTGGCAGCAGACTATCTCCATGATAGTCTATCTCAGCGTCTCTATTCAAAGAGCACTTCAAAGTGAAGGTGTGTGTTCATGTGTGTGAAGAGTGCAAGCTGGGTCTCAAAATGACACCACTTCTTTGTCAGCAGCATTACGCCTCTTGTTTAGCAGATCTGAGCTCCAACATCCAGACACCCAGGCCAAAGTTTAGAACAAGTTTAAGTTGACTTAATCAGGACAGAGCTGAATAATGAATAATTAGCACAACATGCTGCAATATTATTATGACATGTTTGGGTCTGAACACAGTGGATAATCTACAGTTCTGCAGAGCCAGGCCAACCCTGTGTTTATCCACCTTCACTACATCCATAAGATGAACAAAACTCAGGCTTTACTTTGGCAGAAAGAAAGAAAGTCCCCTAAAGGAACTTTGTCCCCAACAGAAAGACAAAGTTAGAGAAATCAAACACTGTTCCATTTGAAAACTGTAAGGTTAAATTTCAAACTTTTGATGACTCCCGGAACCAGGAACCGCTTGCTTTTCACAAATCAAAGTATTAGATTAAAAAAAAGATATATATGAATTAGAAATATTCCAGTGAAGTTGTGACCAGCAGATGTTACTGCATCAGCAGATGTTACTGCATCAGCAGATGTTACTGCATCAGCAGATGTTACTGCATCAGCAGATGTTACTGCATCAGCAGATGTTACTGCATCAGCAGATGTTACTGCATCAGCAGATGTTCTGCAGCTTCAAGCCTTTTATGATGAAAGTTTCCTTTATGAGCTCTGCAGATAATTACAACACTGAGTGTGTTCTGAGTCCAACATCAAACTTCTAAACATGACAACCAAATAAAACAATCAGTAAAACGGTAAATGTTCAAACTTTTAGTGGAAGCAGTCACAACATTGGAGTCTGAATACTCACTGCCTTAGCAAACACTCCCATGAGTTCAGGGAACTGGTGTGTGAGCAGAGCCAACATGGCGGTGAAGGAGCAGAGGCCCGCTGTGAAGAGGATGAAGAAGGGCAGCTCCTTCTTGGGGTAGACCGACACCTCGTGAAACACTGCTTCCACATGACACACACACACACACACACACACACACACACACACACACACAACGACACAATGTTAGCACAGTATGAGAAAACGGTGAAGCTATCTGCCAGTGGAACTTTTTCATCAATAGTAAGAAATTATTGACTTAAAACAAATTCCTATTTCTTGCTGAAAGTTTCTTGTATGTTTTATTTCAAATATACTAACATAGACGAAAACCAAGACCACAAACACTTGGTAAAATTTAGTCTTTTTGCAGTGCAGATGAAATCTACTTAGTCTGACTGCGAGTGTCTGTGTGTGTGTGTGTGTGTTTGTGTGTGTTAGTGTGTCTCTTACTGGGTAGCAGCTCTCTGTCGGCCGTCTCTGTGCAGATGGGGTAGGGATAGAAGAGGTGACCCTTCTCTAGAGGATACGGAATCATTCTGAATGCTAGACAAAACCCCAAAAAAGGAAAGTTTGTGTCAAACTGCTGGATCAGCTGCTCCTCATTTCAAAAGGCTGGCTTTTTGTATGTGTGTGTGTGTGTGTGTGTGTGTACGTACTGCCCTCCCATGTACAGTGCAGCAGGTTGAGTGCTCCCTCCACCCGTTTCCAATGCTGCAGGTGGAAGAAGGCGTAAGCAATGGCTTCACTGTCGCCTCTTTTCAGGATGTGTTCTGGAGGAAGAATCAAACTCTTCATCTCCAGCAGATACTGATGAAGAGGAGAAAGATCAGAGATAAAACCCATGAATTTACAGAACAGTGAATGCATCATTACTTTCCCCCCACTTCTCAGTCACACTTAGCCAGGCTCCAACTCACTTTGGGGACATGAGGGTTGAACTCCACCGCTCTGTGGATGGCTTCTACTGCATTCATCTCTGCTGTGCTCAGGCCCCGCCTGGACGCTGCCTCTGGAGAGAACCTATACACACACACACGCGCACACACACACACACCAGCTACCTCATCAGAACAGATTCTGCATGTTGATTTTGATGATGTTTAGTTCTAATGGCTATTCTATTCTAGATTTGTCCTGAAGTTGGAGCAGTGTTGATGCAAAGTGATACTCACTTGTCCGACACTGCCCTGGCTTTGAGCAAGGCAGCTGTGTAGCATATCGTTGCTGATTTGGGTAAGCTAATATCTGCCAGGAAGACAAAACAGAAAAGCCAGAGCTGGTGTTAATGTGAGGTTGAAGTGACGGGTGGTGGCGGTTGGAGGTGTGGTCGCCCAGTGAGGTGGTGAAGGAAAAAAAATGCTCAGAGGAGATTTCACTCATGTGGTGAAATGTTACGTTATTTTTTTATTCCTGGTGCATAAATTAATGCAGACAAATTTTGTAGAAAAACTCAACAAATTTATGCTTTCTGAAATTCTATCAGAGGAATCCAGCTCAATGAAAGAAAGCTCAGACTGAACACAGGAAGAGATGAGAATTGGCATAAAAAGCCAGTGGTCAGGTTTGCTCTAAACCTACTGCAGTCACTCCAAGCACTTTAAATGATACATATGAGAAAAAGTGGTGTCACATCATTGATTGCAACAATTATTCAGCTGCTAGTTTTGTTAAAAACATTTTTTTTCCAGTTTTGATTCTTTTTTTCTCTCAAATTGAATAAGTGTTTTTCAGAGTGAACTTAGGCTACTGCAATGAAAGATGCATTTATTCAAAGGCTTTTAGCACATTTTTATCAAAGGTACAAATAACTGTCACACACACTCTCAAAAGTAACTTAAGATTACATAAATATAGCATCTATCAAGACATAAAGTCACTAAGTTCTGCACAATAAATGATTAAAAAGCTGAACATAAACAATATGTTATTTGTATTTAAAAGACTCCACAGAAGCTTGGGATTGGGAACCATCAGCAGGTCAGGGACCAGTCAGGGATGTCCTTTGACGTAGGCTGGGGTCCATCCATGAAGAGGCACATCAAAGCTCTAGACCAGTGGTTCTTAACCTGGGTTCCATGGAGCCCTAGGAGTTCTATGAGTCGGTCTCAGGGTTTCGGCGGAGCCTCTGCCGTGGAGGTAATGACACATTGTGTAAAGTCGTGATGACACGCCCCGCTTGGCCGTCACTTGCTGCAGAGGATCACGTGACATTCCTTGGCCAATCAGAACTGCGGGGAATTTAGTCCACTCAGTATTCAACGGCTGTCGTAGTTGGATGTCGTGTG